TTTTTTTTTTTTTTTTTATTATTATTTTTGTTTGGTTGTTCCCATCCGTTGGTACTAATAGAAAGCAAAGCCTAGTTTTTGCATTAGAACTTTAGCCAGCTTTCTTTGTACCATCAATGTGGTTTTTGAACGTATTTGTATTATGAAAACTGTCCGGATTCATGTTACGGTCCAATTTAGTAGCTCCTACTAAGCAGTGTGGTTTGAACTTCGATTGATAAAATTGTTTTGTGGAAACGCTTCCACCCTTGGCGTTAAAGACGCAAAAGAAGAAAATATTGACTCGTCAGGAGGATGCAACCAAAAATTGTAAAACCGAAGAACCAAACTGAACCATGTCGATTCAGTGAATTGTTTCAATTTTGTAGCATGAAATTGGACTTGGTTTGTATCTAGAGAAAACTGGAACTGTTTGGTTTGATCCGGTTTTTGGCTAAAAAACAGTAAAAAAAACCAATCCAAGTCCCTTGTTTGGTTCGCTCGCCTTCACCGATCACCCTATCCTTGCTCTGGCGTTCTCTAGCCACTGCCATCACACCAGCACTCTTCCAGCCGGCGGCCACCACCATCAGCTTCCAGCGGACACCGTTCTCCAGATATCATTCGTCGTTGCTCCCAGGCCAGCATTCTCTTTAGCCACATCACCGCTCTCCAGCACACTTCAATACAAAAGGCCAAGAAAATAATGGGCGATTCAAAGCTACTTGGAGAGGGTTTTTTAATATGCAAATTACGGTGGTGGTTTATGTTTATCTTGACTGCGTTGTTTAGCCCCAGCTTTGTTTGTCTATTGATTCCTTCAACATTCTCATTATTCTTATAAGATCGTGATTAAATGAGTGGTATGATGAAAGTTAAACTACTATATTGGGATGGGATGTCTTGACTTGAGTGGTTTAATGGAAGTTAAACTACTATATTGAGAGATCTGAAATTATTTTGTAACGTTTGTTGTATGATATAATCACTTGTACATCTTGGTGTATGATCCTACTCATATTTTTTGCTACACTTTGAAAGATAGCAATAACCTGGAATTAATAAAAGCATCCTTAATTATTTGCATATTTTGCCTATTGAAAAATCTCAACCTTATTATTTGGGGTAAGGTATTGAAACTACTAGTGCATTCAAGACCTCACAAGTCATCTAACATCCCTTGACCTATTGTTGCCTCCTAATGGATTTGTCTACAACCATCTCAAACTAAGCCTTACTGGGCTAGGCTTTAACCGATGGATGAACATTTGATCATTAGTCCATAGATGTCTTACAATTTTTTTGAATTCAAACTAAATAATAGATGAGAAGGAACAAAGCCAAATCTGAAACTCCCTTTAGTTGAAGTTTAAATATGAAGTTTTTTTGAGTCCCGACGGATCAGTCTCAGAAGCAGATGACTTTTGTAATTAACTTTGAACAAAGTAACAAAAACCTAAACATCCTTCCCCTGCTTCCTCTGTCTACTTTTTCCACTTTGATTCAGAAAAAGTATTTTGGGAGGCCATTCTTGTAATCTTACTCTTTCAAGGCCTTCCCCTTTCAAATTTTGATATGATCCAACGGCATATGATTTGGCATCTTTATCCAAACATTGCTTTTGCTTTTGCTTTTGCTTTTCTTTTTCCCTTGCTTATTTTTCTTCTCTTTTCCTAAAGTTAAAGATGAATCCCATATATGCAATACCCCAGGCAGACAGAACCAAAAGGGAATAGAGATGGCCTTGGATGTTGCTGCTAATGTGCAATGTTGTGCACCCCTATATAATGCAATTCATTCCAACTCCCTCTCTCTCTCTGAATGTTAGCAGCTTGCCTCCAGAAGCTGGAATAGAAAATACGGACTGTGAGTGATTGAAGTCACTACCACACCCTCCCCTCCCATGGCTGCTGCAGCTTCCCATTTGAAGTTCCTTCTCACCCCTCTAACGCTTACACTTGCGTTGCTCCTCCTTCCTTGTGCCTTCTCCCACTCTCTATCCCTCAAGGCACAAGCTTCTCTTCTGGTTTCCATCAAACAGTGTTTCGATCAACCCACTCCCTTGCTCCTGGACTGGAATGCTTCAAATTACTCTTCCCTCTGCTCTTGGACTGGAATTCAATGCGACCACATGAACACATCACTAGTGTCGCTGGACATTTCCAATTCCAACCTCTCCGGGACCTTCCCCCCTCTAATTCACAACCTAACCAACCTTCGCTTTCTCAACATCTCCAACAATCAGCTCAGTGGACAACTCCACTGGGACTACTCTCAACTCAAACTGCTGCAGGTATTTGATGCTTACAATAACAACTTCAATGGGTCGCTCCCTACGGCCGTCCCTCAACTTCCCAGTTTAAAGCATTTAAATCTTGGCGGAAATTTCTTTAGCGGTGGAATCCCCCGAAGCTATGGTGCGATGGGGAAGCTCACTTACCTGTCGCTTGGCGGCAATGACCTGGGAGGTCCCATTCCCACTGAGCTCGGCAATCTAACCAACCTACAGCGGCTTTATTTAGGATACTTCAATGAGTTTGAGGGTGGAATACCCTCTGAACTCGGAAAGCTTGAGAATTTGAATCATCTCGACCTTGCCAGTTGTAGTTTACGGGGTCCAATCCCACCCGAGTTGGGGAACCTCAACAAGTTAGACACTCTGTTCTTGCAGACAAATCAGCTCACTGGTTCTATTCCTCCTCAGTTGGGCAACTTGAGCAGCTTGGTTTCGCTTGACCTCTCTAACAACGAACTAACTGGAGAGGTCCCCCTTGAATTTGCAAACCTCCGCCAGCTTTTGCTCTTGAACTTGTTCATGAACAAGTTTCATGGAGAGATTCCTGAGGGTCTAGCCGATCTTCCCAAGTTGGAGGTTCTGAAGGTGTGGCAAAATAACTTCACTGGAGCCATTCCATCAAAGCTTGGTGAGAATGGGAGAGTGACGGAGCTTGACTTGTCCACCAACAAGCTCACAGGACTGGTCCCGGAGCGTCTGTGCTTGGGAGGAAGGCTGAAGATCTTGATTTTACTGAACAATTTTCTGTTTGGGCCTCTGCCACGTGATCTAGGACGATGCCAGACGCTTGTGAGAGTTCGGATGGGCCAGAATTATTTGACGGGGCCAATCCCAGAGGGGCTGCTTTACTTGCCACAGCTCTCCCTCGTGGAATTGCAGAACAACTACCTGAGTGGACCCCTTCCACAAGATATGCGAATGCGTCCACTCACATCTAAACTCGGCCAGCTAAACCTTTCCAACAATCGCTTTTCTGGATCCCTTCCCACCTCCATCGGAAACTTCACAAACTTGCAGATTCTGCTTCTGCGTGGAAACCGTTTCTCCGGGGACATTCCTTCTGAAATAGGCAAACTGCGAAATCTTCTCAAGCTAGACATGAACAGCAACAACTTCTCCGGTAGAATCCCACCTGAACTGGGTGCTTGTGTCTCCCTCACTTACCTGGATTTGAGCCTTAATCACCTGACCTCTCCAATCCCAGTTCAAATCTCACAGATTCGCATCTTGAATTATCTGAACCTGTCTTGGAACCATCTGAACCAGAGCCTTCCGAAGGAAATTGGGTCTATAAAGAGCCTGACTTGTGGGGACTTTTCCCACAATGACTTGTCTGGTCCTATTCCCGAAACTGGTCAGTTTCTACTCTTCAATTCCACATCCTTCGAGGGCAACCCTCAACTGTGTGGATCCGCGTTGAATCCCTGCAACGTGTCAACCTCTAAATCTCAAACCTCAACGCCCGCCAATTCCAAAACTGTTGGGAAATATAAGCTTGTGTTTGCTTTGGGACTATTGATGTGTTCAGTAATATTTGCAGCTCTGGCAATTATTCAGACAAGGAAGGCGAAGAAGAAATCAAGTTCGTGGAAGCTAGCAGCATTCCAGAAGCTGGAATTTGGAAGCAAGGACATCATAGAGTGCGTAAAAGAGAACAACATAATTGGAAAAGGTGGAGCTGGAATTGTGTACAGAGGAGTCATGCCAAGTGGAGAACAAGTAGCCATAAAAAAGCTGTTGGCCATAAACAAGGGATCCTCCCATGACAACGGTCTGTCGGCGGAGATACAGACGCTGGGCAAAATCCGTCATAGGAACATCGTGAGATTGCTTGCATTTTGCTCCAATAAGCAGACCAATCTGCTGGTTTACGAGTACATGCCCAATGGAAGTTTGGGAGAAGTTCTCCATGAAAAGAGGGGTGGTTGCCTGAAATGGGGAACCAGGCTGAAGATAGCTATAGAAGCGGCCAAAGGGCTTTGCTATTTGCACCATGATTGTTCCCCCCTAATAATTCATAGAGACGTCAAGTCCAACAACATTCTGCTCAACTCAGATTACGAGGCTCATGTAGCGGACTTCGGGTTGGCCAAGTTCCTGCAAGACAACGGAACATCGGAGTGCATGTCTGTCATAGCCGGTTCTTACGGGTATATTGCTCCAGGTATGTGTCTNGTTTCATGTTTGTTATTTTGTTCATTTGGGCTTAAGCTTGGCTTGATCAGATTCATTCATCACCCACTTACCTTATAAGTTAGAAGTGCAATGCTACAACTGGCGGTCTGAATCGAATAGAGTGAATGCCTGGGCCTGCTGCCTGTTTCTTTGTACGTTATTCCTGCTGGGTCGGGGTCGGGGTCGGTGAACTGAGTCTCCCCAGTGCTACTGCCACTGCCACTGCCACTGCCACTGCCACTGGGTGCTCTTTTAATTCCATTATCGGTTCCCGAACCCCACAGGCGAAATATAAAACAAACTAAAGGGAGAAAAGTGGAGAGGAATTTGCCTTTGCCTTTGCCTTTACCTTTGCCTTTTCCTTTTCCTTTACCCAAATAAAGAGAAAATAGTGGTGAGGATTCCAATTCCAACAAAGGCAAAGGGGAGAAGGAATCCACTAACACAAAGGAAATTTGGGCTTTACCCTTTTTCTTTCTTGTGCTCTACTGT